ACAGAAATCAGTTGCATTTCTGTACTCTAACAACAAAATATCCGAAAAAAAAATTTTTTAAAAATCCCATTCACAATAGCATCAAAAAAATAAAATATTTAGGAATAAATTTAACCAAGGAGGTGAAAGTTCTGTACACTGAAAACTATAAGATTTTGCTGAAATAAATTGAAGACACAAACACATGGAAAAATATTCTGTGTTCGTGGATCAGAATAATAAATATTGTTAATATGTCCATACTACCCTAAGTCATCAATAGATTCAATACAATCTCCACCAAAATTCCTATGGCATTTTTCACAGATATAGAAAAAACAATCCTAAAATTTGTCTGGAACCACAAATGACTCCAAACAGCCAAAGTAATCTTGAGGAAGAAGAAAAAATCTGGAGGCACCACACTTCTTGATATCAAACTATACTACAAAGTTATCATAGTCAAAAGAGTATGGTATTGACATAAAAATAGACACATAGACCAATGAAACAGAAGCAAGAGCCCAGAAATAAACCCCCGCATATATGGTTAACTAGTATTTGACAAGGGAGCCAAGAATACTCAATGAGGAAAGGGTAATTTCTTCAATAAATGATGTTGAGAAAACTGGATCACCACATACAGAAGAATGAAATTGGACCCCTATATTATACCTTTTACAAAAATGAACTCTAAATGAGTTAAAGATCAAAACTTAAGACCCAAAACCATAAATCTCTGAAACACAGGGAAAAGATCCTTGACCTTGGTCTTGGCAACCATTTTTTGGATAAGATACCTAAAGCACAAGCAATAAAAGCAAAAATCAATAAGTAAGACTACATCAAACTAAAAAGCTTCTGCACAGCAAAAGAAACAATCAACAAAACAAAAAAGCAGTCTGTGAGATGGGAGAAAATATTTGTAAACCATATATCTGATAAGGGGTTAATATCCAAAATATAAACAGATTCATACAACTCAATAACAAAAACAGACAATCTAATAAAAAGTAGGCAGAGAAACTGAATATATTTTTTTCCCAAAGAAGACGTACAAATGGCCAACAGGTACGTGAAAAGATGCTCAGCATCATTAATCATCAGGGAAATGCAAATCAAAATTACTATGAGATATCATCTCACTCCTGTTTGAATGGCCGTTATCAAAAAGACAAGAGATAACTAATGTTGGAGAGGATGTGGAGAAAAGGGAACCCTTGTATACTGTTGGTGGGAATGTAAATTGGTGCAGCCACTGTGGAAAACAGTATGGAGATTCCTCAAAAATTAAAAATAGAACTATAGTATGATCCAACAACTCCACTTCTGGGTATATATCCACAGGAATGAAAACATGATATCAAAGAGACATATTTACACCTCCATGTTTATTGCAGCATTATTCACAATAGCCAAGATATGAAAACAACCTAAGTGCATACACACACACACACAACACACAGGAATATTATTCATCCAAGAGAAAGAAGGAAATCTTGCCATTTGCGGCAACATGGACAGACCTATAGGACATTATGCTGAGTAAAATAATTCCAACAGAGAAAGTCGAACACTGTATGATCTCACTTATATGTAGAATCTGAAAAAGCCAAACTCACAGAACAGAGAGTAAATTGGTGGTTGCCAGGGCCTGGAGTGTGGGGAAAACGGGGGGATATTGGTAAAAACCTCCAGGTACAAGATGAATAAGTTCTGCGGATCTAAGGCATAGCATCGTGATTACAGTTAACAATATTGTATCATATATTTGAAAGTTGTTAGGAAAGTAGATCTTAAATGTACTCATCACAAGAAAGAAATGGCAATTTTTTGACATGATGGAGGTGTTAGCTAAGGTTATGGTGGTGATCATTTTGCAATACATAAGTGTATCAAATCAACAAATTGTAGACCTTAAACTTACACAATTTTATATGTCAATTATACCTTAATAAAGCTGGAAAAGAAAAACAATTCAGGTACAAGAGAGCAAACAGTGCTGGGAGACATTGAAGGTTACTAAAGTAGAGACATATATTTACTACTCTTGCCATCCAGCTTGACACCAGAAAGATTGAATTTTAGGAGTAAGGGCCAAGCACTAGAGTGGAGACTATTATAAAACCCATCCTAACAAAGCCTAAAACCACACCCTGATATGAGTCAGAGAAAAGTAAAAATCCTGACAACAAGAGAAGCTTGGAAAATATCTTGACCAATTTATCAGAAAGTCATAAGAATTCCATAAATGCACCTAATTACAGAGCTTCAATATTATAAAGCAAAAACTAACAGCACTGAATGTAGTGTAAGACAAATCAACCATCATAATTAGATATTTAAATAATTGGATATTTAAAATCTCCTATTCAATAATGATAGATAGAAGAAGAAGAAAAAAATCAGAAAGGATACTAAAATATTTTAAAACCACATTCAACCACTGTGATCTAATTTTCTCTTAAAGAACACCATAAAAACAATTGAAGACTACACATTGTCTTTGAGTGTTCATGGAATGCTCACCAAAATAAAACATAAGCAGGCACTTACAGTTAGTCACAGTAAAATTCACATCTGAAATCTTAGAGTATGTTTCTTGACCACAACAGGACTAAATCAGAAACCAACAATAAGATATCTAGAAAATTCTCAAATATCTCAAAATTATATAGCACATTTTAAAATACGCCATTAGTTAATACATGCCAAGGAATATTAGGGACAATAAAAATACATCCCATGAAACCTAGGCAACAAAGCAAAAGTAGTACTTACAGGAAAAAATTCTTAATATAAAAGTGTTTATATTAAAAAAGAAGAGAATTTTAATGTAATTGTTGTAAATTTACATCTTACAACACTGAAAAAAAAAGAAAGCAAAGCAAACAATAAATAGTGTAGAGAAATAACAAAGCTATAGGGGCTGGCCCAGTGGCGCAGCGGTTAAGTGTGCACGCTCCACTGCAGTGGCCCTGGGTTCACATGTTCGGATCCCGGGAGTGCACCGATGCACTGCTTGTCAAGCCATGCTGTGGTGGCAACCCATATAAAATAGAGGAAGATGGGCACGGATGTTAGCCCAGAGCCAATCTTCCTCAGCAAAAAAAGAGGAAGATTGGCATTGGATGTTAGTTCAGGGCTAGTCTTCCTCACACAAAAAAATAAATAAAATAAATAAAATAAAAAGAAATAACAGAGCTATAAGCAGAAAACAATGCACAAATTGATTTTAGGTGGTGTAAAACACAGATAGACAGACAAAGCAAACAAACAGTAATCAGTATGCAGACAAACAGTAAAACTGACAAAAACAAAGAAAATGAATACAGCCAAATGTTGGTTCTTATAAGAGACTAATTCAGGTGGCTGATAATTTGGTAAATGCATAAATTCACTTGGCCAGCTCGGGCTCTCTCACTCTTAGGTTTGCTGGCCCTTAGGTGTGGGAGGTGAAGAGTTTTCATTTGACTATACCCAACACACTTGTCTCGTCCATTTTCTTCTCTGAGACTACAGATCTTACCCCTATACCTTTATCCCGAGGTTTGATGTAGAATTTTAAGGACTTGACTGTTATTTCTTGGTGTAATTGCTCTTCTACTTGCTCTAACTCCTCTCCTTAGGAGACCACTGATGTTGGCTACACATAGGACACCAACCTGGTGTGGACTCTTCACTGAAGATTTTGAGTGATCTTCTGGAATAGTACTTGAGATGACAGGATATCCTGTAGATTTTTCCAGACACTTTTCCCCATGTTAAGAGCTCTCTCATTTCCCACTTGGCTCTTTTCCCAGTTGGCTCATTTTATTATAACAATGAAGCTTCACAAATTCTCAAAGAACAGTGTTCCTTAACACTGTTGAGTGCCTCATAAATCACTTTATATCTCTATGATGGCCCAAATCACCAACTGTTTGGCCACTAAGAGTCAGGAAAAGGGCCATTTATTGTTTTCTATTTCTTTGGTCTATCTTTTAAAATTCCAACTGCACAACATAGATTTAGGAGCATTGTTCCAACTTCTCTTTATTTGTGCCAGTAATGTATGTATTTTCTGCTGTAGAAACAACAGGGGGTATCATCCATATAAGTTAGTTTCCAGTAGAAGAAGAGGAAAATGTCCTGACTCATAGACATTTCTGTCATGTGACTGCTGCCTCTTGGTCTCTGGATGGGACCCTCTGACCGTCCTAATGTCCCTCTGTACCCTTTACGTTAAGACAGCTCAATGTATCCACGTAAGCAGCGCTAAGGTCTGTAACAAAGAACTGTGAAAATTCATCATTTTTTGTGGCACTCATGCCAGATCCTCCTTGATTTTCCTTGACTTACTCCAGCACATTCAGACACTTTTCAAATCCAGACTTCAACTCTCTCCTTCACAAACCTAGTTTGAATTAACCTTATCAGTTTTCTTCTCCCTTCAGATAACCTCGACTCATCTACTAAATGCAACAGGTCTTTGGATTCCTTTTCATTTCATGGCCTTGTTCTTCAGATCAGATAGTGAGTTATCACAATACTATATTCTGATGGGTTCCATTTAGTTGACATCTCAGGGTTACAATTCTCTAAATTGTATCCATTGTACTATATAGACAAAAAAATTGTAGAGAAAGTATTTTTTAGGTCCTCAACCCTTCTAGAAGCTCAGTGCTCTTCCAGAATTTGAAGGATTCATTGACGTGATGATATGAACTCATTACTCACTTGTGTTTATCTGTGAATAATTCTGAGTCGAGAGTAATCATGAAATTGAATCATAGAAGTAATGGACTGTAATCATAGGCAAGAGGTTAACTAGTGCAAAATGCATTTCCAAATACTCTAGGAAGAACTTACATGTGAATAATGATTTTACGCCTGTGGTATGTCAACTGTTAGCAACTTGGTAATGTATCACACACTATTGAAAACACAAGCAACTTCACAATCTTTCTCCATCCACGAGGTGTGGTCAGGTACTGGTAGTGATAGACGTCTCTTCCAAGATCTCCTCCTGTCATGTGCCATGTGTGAACAGGAAAGGAGGAAGAAGTGGCTGTGATGTGGGACCACTGAGTCACGAGTCGAAAAAGAATTTTCAGACACGAGCCGCTCCTTTGTTCATGCACCTTTATTTTGTTGTCAGCATGGGGACAGGACCCATGGGCAGTAAAGAGCTGTAGTGCAAGAGTCTGTGCGGTGCCATGATATACCATTTTTAGCTATTTTACTATTCTATAGAAAGGTCAAAAAGGAAAGTATTAGGTGGTCTGGTTAGCCTCAAAGATTAGGGCATGGAGGAGATGAGTGAGATTTGTCCTTACATTCCAAGGTAAAGTTTGCCTCAAGGAATACATAGGCAGGAGAGTAAAGTCATTGCTCACCTCCTGAAGGTAAATTTCTTTGCTCCTAGCCAGAGGCGATTGAGTAATGCAAGACTGAACGAAGTCTCATGGAAAGAATTGGAAATTGTAAAACAAGTCATAAACAAGGTTTCGACCCCATCAGCTGGGTGACTTGCCTTTCCACTTTGAAATCTGAGACTCATTTAAGGGGCTTTGGTGTCTACTGACCCACATTTAAGTCCACTGGAAAGAAAGTTCTAATATCATAACTCCTTTCAGACCTTTGTAAATAAATAAATAAATAAATAAATAAATAACTTAGCTCTGATTTTTCACTATGACTAAGATGTTTACATCAAGAAAACTATTCAGTTTCTCTGACAAAGGAAATAGAAAGCTAAGACCGTTAATGGGAGGAGTCTCAAAACTGTTTCATAACTTCTTTGTCTCTGGGGATGTAGCACAGGCTGAGGTAGCCAGCAGCACTAGTGAAGTTACTAAGTGACTCTAACCAGTGCAATTTTTCCGTGTTATCTTTGAAAAATCTTCGCTTTCTTGGCATTTCAGAAGATTGTAACATCCTGCAGTTCAGTTTCTGAGAGCTTTACTGATTTTTCTTCCCCCTCAAACAAAACAAATACCAGCTGCCACATTTCTGAAGAAGATCTCCAGATCTGGACTACTGTGGAAGAATTATCAGTGAGGTGAGTCCTGTTAGGATTTTTGTAGAGGAGATCTGGCTACCTCGTTGATATCCACAAGATCACGGGAGGAGAATTAGTTTTTGAGTCTTTTGAGTAGGGCTGAGAGGAGTAAGGCTGGTATTTACACATTTTGAAAAGAGAAAACCACAGCAGCTTGATTCTAATCCTTCACTTACCTAGGAAGGTAATAGATATCATTCATACCAACACAACTGAGGCCTAAACAAAGCAAAATGCATTTTGACTATTGCAGATTTTAAAATTCATTTTCCAGGTGTTTATAGCATTAGTTAATATTTAGAAGAGGGCTTTGGTTTCCTACATGGAAGCTGTGCAGGAAACAAGTGTTTGTGGTAGAGGCCGGGGTAAAAGACAAAATAATGGCATGAAAAAAATATTATGCAATAATATTAAGTAAAAAACACATTTAGATGTAAAACTATATTATATAACATTATTCCAATTTTACAAAACATGAGAAAAAGTACACATGAAATAAAAAATTTCTCAGTTTCACAAACACAGCTACTCAAATACATGGTGTCTTGATATATTCATAAGTACTTTAGCTTCATTCTACACCAAGTTTTAGAGGCAATATTTCAGTTCTTTTGGGACTAATTCCCTGCTTTCCTCAAAGTCAGAGGTAAACTTTGGTGATGAGAGTTTGTAAGAAAGAGGCAGTTGGAGACCATTAAATCTATACCTACCTTTTGGAATGCTTTAGTCTTTCTGAGGAGCCTGGTACATAAACATTTCCTGTTTTTAAGAGGAACGTAAAGTTTGAAATATTGGTTTCTGAATTCTCTAAATGTTAGATAAAGCCTTTTATTGAAGCTTAATTGTATTGGTCAGTTTTTCTAAATATTTTCCTGATTTTTTTCTTTGCTTCATTCGGTAATTAAAATATGCTAAAATCTCAAACTACAATCATAGAATCAAATAGTTCTTTTAATTTCTAATATAAATATTATATATGTGTGTATATATAGTGAAAGGGATATACTACATAATACTATTTATAATATACTATTTATAATAATATAAAGAAATGTGAATTAATAAATAATATACTTATTACTTTTAGATAAATACATAATTAAAACTGTTACAGTTAAATTTTTTCTGGAACTTAAATCTTTTATCATTGTGTAGTGAAATTCCAGTTCTGATGAAAGTGTTGGGGAAGAGGGAGAATCCCCCTCCGCCCTTTCGCTTAAGGTTCTTATGGCTGGCCAAATAATTAACAAGACAGGTTAGCAGGAGAAAATGAAACAAAGTTTAATAACATGTATAAGTGGGAGAAACCAGGGAAACTGAGTTTCTCCACAAAATGGCGGAGGTTCTCATCTTAAATACTATCATCAGCTAAAGCCAAAGGAGGATGTTGGGGGTGGGGGGAGTCAGTTATGGGAGATTACCAGAAAAGCACAGGAAACGAGGAAAGTTATTACACAGATTTAAGGCCTCACCTTCCACATCCTTGAGTTTCTAGAGATGATTTCATCCCCCCTCCTCCCAGTACAGAGAGGGAGATACTTTTACAAATGGAGATTTCCCTTATAAATGTAAATGTTTTGGTAAACAGAACTTTGAAAAGAATGGGCTCAGCAAGAACCCTCCCACTCTGTCACTTTTAGGAGGAAGTTTCGGGGAAGGTTTAAGTTTCTTTCAGAGAAAATAATCAAGGTAAAGAGATATTGTTTCAGGGTGGCCAATTTTGATCTCCCACAAAAGTCTTTGTCTTAAGGTCTACTTAAAGCTACACTAATACAAATACACTGCTTTCTTTGAATTAATGTTTGCACGATAAAACTTTTTGCAACTATTTTTTTTAAACCTTTAGATGATCTTTTGTCAACAACACATAGGTAGATTTTTTAAAATCCAGTTTGAAAACTTTGTCTTTTAATGGGTTCAGCATTATGTACATTAGGTGAAATGCTGTATTTTGACTAGTTTGTAACACTATTTGTAATACTTATTCCATGCTTCCTTTGTCTTCTTCTTGTCAATAGTTTTAAATTTGTATCTCTAACTTCTTAAGAACAAGCAACTTAGTGAATACTCATATCCTCTTTTCTCCCTTCCTTCACCCCACCATGTTGATCTACTTTCAGTTTCATTTCTCTTCTGCCGTTTATTTTTAAAACATTAAAAGACTTAATCAAGGTCTTGTTCACGCCTACTTTTTTGCCTGCAGCATTTTGTTTACCTGATTTTGTAGCCGGAAAAACCCGGGACCCTGTCACTGTGGCCGGAATCAATGAACACAATGACCAGGAATCGAGGAAAAGAAAAATGGTTTAATTTTGCCAGCAAAATGAGGCTGCTGTGGGCTCATGCCCCAAAATCTACAGCCCTCCTGAAGCATTAGGAGTCGGAGTTTTTAAAGGAAAGTCTGTGGGAAAGAATGTATCCTTGGGACTGTGATTATTTGTTGGAGGAGGGATCCCAGCCCTCTGGCGCCAAGCTGGCTGTTATACCTATCTACAGCAGGAGATTTAGGGCTCCATGAATCAATCTTCTCACATCACCCGAAATTTGGCCTTGGCGAGTGGACTGCAAGCGCTACCAATTAACAAGTACAAAGTTTACAAGGTTTTAGGTAGGGGAGGGGGAGCTGTGGCTTTGCAGTTCGCTGTCCTTCTGCCAGCCTGCGTTTAGCTGAGTTAGGGAAGCTGCAGGGGTCCTCTGTTTGTCTGTCCCTGTGATGAATGATGGATTAGGCGCCAGGAACCAGGAGTTGGGGAGCTTCAGCTTCTTGATAATTTCGAGATACCAGTCTCCCTGTAACAAACCTCAAGAACTGGTAATTAGCCTGAGTTTCAGTTTGTAGCCACCTGGGCTTTTAACAATTTATTACCTCCATTTGTCTCCTGGAATTCCTGGACACAAAGGATAAAACAACCAATATCTACAAGTGAATGTAACTTAGAAAAGCAGGGAAGGGGGAATGAGTGCTTTTTGGTTTTAACCCCATATATGCTGGGTTCAATGCAGGGGAACAGATATCAGGGCCGGCATCAATTGCTTTATTTTCTTGTTGAATACTATTTCCAGAAGAGTGCTTGGTAGGTGTCTTTGTGTTACAAATCTTCTGATTGTTAATTGTGTTGGAAAATATTGAAGATTCATCTATAAGCCATTACATTTAAAATGCTGTTTCGCTGGATAAAAAATCCCTGTTTCAAAATTATTTTTTCTTCAATTTAGGTTGATAACATCTTTCTGAAACCCTTGGGATCACATAGGATTTGGAATTCAGAATTTGAGTGACTTAAGAAAGGCTATTCAAGGCACTCACTATATATAGCATATTACATAGATTGCCCAGTTGGGTGTAGGTCCTGACTCATCTTAAATGCACTAATATTTCAGGAGAAAGACAATATGAACATTCACACTAAAGGAGAATTTTTAAAAAATTGTACATAGACTCCTGCCGTCTCACATCATCTTTTTTTCCTAATAAATTTTGTCACCAAATTCACACACACACTCACACACACACCTTTTGGTTTCACAATTTTAGGAGGTTTTGAAAGTGCAGATATGGATTTGGGGCAAACACTATACAAAATTACTCCATGTAGTTTTGTTGTTGAGAATTTGATTTTGAACTTTTGTAAGTAAGCTACTATTTTTTTCTGGAAGTGTCAAATTTTTCTTGTTTTTGGATATTCTTCAGTTTCTCTACATTATGTCTTGGTGTGGGTTTTTCCCTCACTTTCTTATTTAGCATTCTATTGGCCTGATCAATCTGAGGATGCTCCTGTTACTTTAATTCCAAGAAGTTTATCTCATTATTTCTTCAAATATTTCCTCCTTTTCACTTTAGTTTTCACTCTTTTTGCAACTAATAACATGTGGATGTTGACACTTTATCCTGGATTTTGACATGTCTTACATTTTGTTTTCTATTTTCTATTTGTTAGTTCAAACCTATCTCCTTGTGGGATGCATTTCAATCCAATTTTACAAATCAATAATTTAGATTCTAATTGTGTCCATTGAACTATATTGCCAAACTATTATGTTCTAGGAGCCAAATCCCCTGAACTCTAAAGTTTAAGCTCTTAACACCCATATTCTGCTTCCTGAGTCAATGCATTGACAGAAGATATTGGAGAAAAAATGATAGAAGTGTCATTTTTCACAGTGATTCTCATAAGCTATATTCAGAGTTTAGGACATTATACATAAAAATATGGTATGTAAGCGTTTCCATATGATTGGATACATGCTGAGTACATCTGCATATTTGCATAATTTGGCAGACTTCTAAATTAAATTTGATTAGTTTCATGAAGACCCTGTATTCTCTAGATCTACTTTTTAAGAAGAAAGGTAGGAAGTATATTCCATAAGAGATTGGAAGGAGAAGATATGCATAGTTCTTGAGCTTTAAGATGAAATATGGAAAGTGAGAGAAGAAAGAGACAGATTATTCAAGTCTTTCCAAGCCAGGTTAAGGATCAAGGAATTTCTCCTAAAGAAACTGGGGAACTATTGAATGCTTTCAAGCAGTGCAGAAATGTGGTTTATAGAAAGATAACTGGATCTATGAAAATAACTAATTAGAGAAATTAAGCCTGGAAGGAGGAAATTCAAGCAACTGTTAAACAATCCCAGACAATATGATATGATCCTACGCTAGGGAGCAGGTAGAAGTCTAGCAAAGTGACAGTGATATGGGCACATAGGACACAAAGAACATGGTCCAACCACAGGGAGAGATGATGCTAATTAGAGCTGACTAGGGAAGAGCCAAGTGGACTAGGGCAGGTACAGCATGGAACTGTATTGCTGTTGCAGAAGGATATTCACATAAGGTGAGGGGCTGCAGCCCATTTTGCACATAGGTCACTTCAGGCATAGTGGGTATGGGAAGTCAGGAAACAACAACAGACATTAATGGCCAGGCTCTAGCACTAATCAAGGAAAGGAAGAGGAACCAGGGACTTTGATACTATACAGGCCATATTATAAACACTACAACAATGACTTATTTCCAGGGCTTTTTCTTTCTTTCTTTCTTTCTTTCTTTCTTTTTTGTGAGGATGATCAGCCCTGAGCTAACATCTGCCAATCCTCATCTTTATTTTTGCTGAGGGAGATTGGCCCTGAGCTAACATCCGTGCCCATCTTCCTCTACTTTATATGGGACACCACCACAGCATGGCTTGACAAGTGGTACGGTGGTGCGCGCCTCAGATCCGAACCCGTGAACCCCGGCCGCCACATCGGAGCGCACGTACTTAACCGCCTCGCCACCGGGCCGGCCCTTCCAGGCCTTTTTCCACCACACCTACTCCTGACTCAATTCAACTATCATCATTAATAATGTTTTACGCCTTCCTAGTACAGAATTTCTCAACAAATTTTCTAAATGACACATCTGGTAATTAAGTTCCTCTTTGTCACACACATCCATGGATAACACTTGGACATGGGCCACTCATACACATAAACATTAACAGTCTTTTAAATTGTCTGCATAAATGTGTAACACTGTGTGTTATTTTTCTCTTGTAGGCTCATCCATAACTTGAGAGATGGTGAATGAATACCAGAAAATTGTTCTTCTGAAGGGATTAGAGCCCATCAGTGGATATCATTTTAGCATTATTAAATCTTTACTGGCCGATGATTTACAACTGACTGCGAAATCTCAAAATGAATATACTAAAATTGAGATTGCTAACTTAATGGCAGAAAAGTACCAGGGACCCGCCTGTGTTGACAAACTAATACAATTGTACAAAGACATAGCAGAACTTAAAAGTGTTGTTAAAAGTCTCAGAAATGAAAAGTTAAAAGGTAATGAGGAAGAACTCCTCAATCTCACTCTCTCTGCACCATCCTCAACCTTGACTAGAACCCTGACTTAGTCATAGTTGAAACAACCCTTTCCTAGCTTAGGACTCAGTAGCCATGACTGTGTTAGTACTGCAGAAGCCAACAAGTTGACACGTTAGGGCATCCCCTTTCCTATAAAGGGGATTGATGTATGTTGGAGGGTGTATCTGGGGTGAGGATAAAGAACAACAGACAGAGGGAGATGACAAGAGGCTGAGGCTTCTAGTATGTTAGAAATGCTAGAAAATGACAAAAGAATAATTTAAGAGTTGCGGTTCATTTAAAAACGTTTACATTTAACCAATTAATGTGCCTGTTCTATTAAGCGCATTTGCTCCACGATCATCATCTCCTCTAGAAGCAAAAACACAGCAGTACTTAACATAAAAACCTACCTCTCAGAGATGTGAAGAACATACCCTCTTGTAAAATCACTGGGCAAAAACAAATATTTTTAAAATTCAAATGCCAATATTACCATTTTATCACATTATGAATCCATATCATATTTCCTTTCAGCAGTTTCTGTAATTTTAATAAATCTTTTAAAGAACATGATCAACCAGTCAGCATCATGAAAATCTTAGATTTTTTAAAAGGAAATGATAAGGAAACAGAGTTGGGAGAGAGTTTGAATGAGGTACATGGGATCCAGAGGATGAGAAGGACAGGCTCACTGCACAAGGAGTGAGTACGAAAAATACTAAAGAAGCATGAGACAGTCTTCCTGCCCATGTTGTTACTTTTGGTCCCCTTGTGCCAGGCTGGCTAATGCAGTCAGGGTAGACAAAAGCATATCTAGACCCACAAGCAAGAGCTTGGAGTAAATAACATTGAAACTGCTTCAGCTGTCTTAGACCAGACGCTCTGGGTTTATTGTGTCCTTGTTTTTGCTTCAGTGGCAACGAAAGAGAGAAAAAAAGTGGCAGCGAAAGAGAAAAAAAAAGTGGCAACTCTATTGAAAAGGAAAAATCAGGAAGCAGCAGGTCCTGACATACCTGCACCCACTACAAGTAGCAATCTGCCATTTAAAAGAGCAAAGATGACTCCTGTGACTCAGGTAAGCTTGAGGAAGAGAAGCAGGATGGAAGTCCCATGGAAGGAACTCTGCTATGGCAGTTGGTTCTTTATTAATGTTCCAGCAGTTCAAATTTACCAAATTCAGGAATTATGGGGCATCTACTTTGTGCCAGGCAAAGAGCAAGGCACTATAGAGCTGTAGTAAAAATTTCTATGACATAAATATGATGACATAATCCCCATTATAAAGATAAGTTAACAATCAGATTGGAAATTCATCTTGCCTATGCTTTCACAAACCTAGATTTTCTAATTCCAAGACCAGTGCTCTTCCCATCACAAAACAGTGGTGATTAGAGAAGTAATGTTTCTTTAAATCGGCCATCCCTTTTTTAATGCTGCCATCTATGCCCACTCTTACCTACTGGCCATCTCTTTGGTAATGGGTTGGAACTCCCCGGAATTTCCAAGGACATCACATTCCACATAAATAGAACAGACTACAAAGTAATGAAAATATGTTCTGCTTCTTTTAATACTGAAAACCATTAACAGGAAAATTAAACTCCTTTCAGAAAAGAAAAAACACTGGAACAAAAAAGAATAAGGTGTCCCAGGAGCAGATTCAGCCTCTCTGTCCTTCAGTAGCCAGCTCATCTGCAACCATGGGCATGCCACCACCTTTCCAGAGCTCATCATGGACTCTACCTTCCACATTCTTAACTAAGGTATGCACTTCCTGTTTCTCATTTCCAAGTTTGCTTCAACCCAGTAACAGGGCATTCCACAGTTACTATTGCTATTCTCATGTATAACTCTTGTTACTGATTGGCTAGCTTTGGCAAAGTTGTTTGCTATGGTAAATTGGTCACATTGATGAGAAGGCACATCCAGGTAAGTCCAATCACTCACAGGTGATTACCATGTGTAATATCTCAGGTCTCACCACTCTAAGTACATATTTTATTTTTTTTAGTCATTTAAATGGATAGAGGATATATTTTAATTTATTATTCTACTTTAATCTATCCCTTAGATACTTCATAACAATGCCCTCATCATCCACAGCTCTATGTTGTTCTCACTAGGGATCATGCCTTAATTCAGAAAGATTATTCTGTTTAAATGAGTGTTTTCTAACTTCCATGCCATTGTCTGCTACTTATACTTTGGCCGGCTAAGCTATACCAGTTCATTAGCCTTTCCTTTTTGCTAAACAATTCCTTTCTAGCCTGGTCCCAGCTCCAAATATCTGTGAAGGTTGTTGTGGCCCAATGTTGTGATTGGGGTTTCATTCATGAGAAAATAACTTCGTATTCTCTGCTCAAACTTGTAAGTTTATTTTCCTGTTTCTGTCCAACACAGGACCAGATAAAGCAAGGCCAACGTCAGGTAGCTGCCAGAAGAAGTGTTCCTCCAAAGGGCCCAATGACAGTGATGGTACTGAAAGCAACAGAGCCATTCGAATATGAGTCCCCAGAAAAGGGAAAAAACACAATGTTTCATGCTACTGTGGCTACTGTGAGTCAATTTTTCCAAGTGAAGGTTTTAAACATCAACCTAAAAGAGAAATTCACAAAAAAGAACATCATTACCATATCAGATTACTTTGAAGACAAAGGAATCCTGGAGATAAATGAAGCATCATCTGTGTCTGAAGCTAGTATTGATCAAAAGATTGAGGTCCCTAACAGCATTATCAAAAGAGCAAATGAAACTCCCAAGATTGATAGTCTTTACAAGCAAGCATCGGGAACATTTGTGTATGGGTTGTTTGCGTTACATCAGGTAATCCTTTAAAATTGTTTTTCATTTTCTCCACCAACACCTGAAAGTAAGCCTCCTCACTTGCCAAGCTCTGGTTACTGACTGAATATTGGAACCCAGGACTCTATCTTGACTAGAGATAGGTGGTCAAGTATCCACACAACAAGAAATGGGACTAGGTGACCTATTACCATTCTTCAACCCAAGATATCCCCATACAAGTTCTTTGAAAAAGATTTGCTAAGAAATTTTGTCATCATTATGATTATCTATTCTCAGCCATCATAAACAAGGACAGTGCAGGGTCTATATCAATATGCACATGCTAATAATTTTATTTCTGAGCTCCACCACAACTGTATAAATCATTATTTTCTTTTTACCTTGAAGAATAGATTGCCCTACCAAGGTTGAATTACAGTTGTGCCATATATTCAGAGTAATAAATAGATGGGCTTGTATTCTCCTGAATGCGTTTACATTCAAAAGTTAGGCAAATGACATAACCATTCAATGCTGTCTCCTCTATCTTATTCATTTAATCAATTATTTGTGAACAGTTTACTGAAGACTGAGAAATATTGTATTGCATGATATTTGGAAGATATGGCAATCTAATTCCCTTATTTATCAGGGAAAAAAAAAAAAGGCATAGAGAGTTTTACTGATGTATCAATGTCCAAATTCAGAGTACTAGTTAGTATGATGAATTCAATGCATTCAATTTTACAATTTTGTAAAAATTTCAAAATTTACAAATTGCTTTGAACTTACCTAATATTATTTATGATTGCTTCATAATGCTATATACCTGTCTTCTAGGATAACCTCTCAATTTACCTCCATTACTTTCTTACACTGTCTTTAAGAGATCATGCTTATAAATGCAACTATAGAATTGATGATTAATAGCTTAAATGAGTGAAACACAATTAAGTGAAACACTTCATTAGAATATGAACCACGGGACTTAGGTCAATGGGGATAAGATATTGGAGAAGAGTAAATGGAGAAGGTTGAAAAAAGAATTAGTGAGTTTCTAGAACCTTACTTGTTATATAGAGTCTTTATAATCTACTGAAGGAATAGCGGGAGTCAACGTCCATTCATTTCTGCATAAGGATGGGAACCCAGGAAGTCTACCCAGGATTTCTGATTCCTCTGATTCCAGTTTTAAGGAATCAAAGCTCCCTTTGAGTTAGAAGCCATAGAAAATAGGAATAAAACTCATTCTTCCAGAATTGTCATATAGAAAACATCTGGAACAAGAAAGGCAAAAATAAAAAAGCAGAACAATAAAAGCAAAGTTTCCTGAGAAAACCTTGCCAAAGCCATATGTATATCTGGTCTATAATTGCTTTTATATATGTTTTGTATTTACTGTGTCACAAGGGTCTTTCTCATACCTCTGAAAGTTATTATGTTTTCCGAAACTGAATGTTAAATTTCTATTACAGAAAAAAGTGCTTAAGAAGAACACAATCTATGAAATACAGGATAATACAGGAACGATGGATGTAGTGGGAAATGGAAAATGGCACAATATCAAATGTGAGGAAGGAGATAAACTTCGACTCTTCTGCTTTCAACTGAGAAAAATTGACCAGAAGCTGAAATTGACATGTGGAGATCACAGTTTCATTCAGGTGGGAACTGGATAGAGGAATATTGCCATTTTCCAAAAAGGCAAATAATTTTGTTTAGGTTTTGAGAGTACCAGATTCCTGTCTTTTGAACACAGAAAGTCTAGCAGGTGAGAGGAGAACACAAACAGTTCGCTTGCATTCATTTGTAAGTGAAGAACTTTTTTTTTTTTTTATAATTTTATTTATTTATTTTTCCCCCAAAGCCCCACTAGATAGTTGTATGTCATAGCTGCACATCCTTCTAGTTGCTGTATGTGGGACGTGGCCTCAGCATGGCCGGAGAAGCGGTGCGTTGGTGCGCGCCAGGGATCCGAACCCGGGCCGCCAGCAGCGGAGTGCGCGCACTTAACCGCTAAGCCACAGGGCTGGCCCTAGTGAAGAACTTTTAAAAAGATACGAGAAAATGACATTCATACAAACTTCAAAAGGACATGACACTTGTGCTAAATAATAAAATATTAGAGGAAATTAGGAGGAAAGGGAAATAATTTCCCACAGTGGTGAAGAGCAGGGCTTTGAGTAGGACAGATCTGATTTGAATCCTGGGTTCAGCCCTCACTAGTTGTCTGTTATTGAGGAAGTACTTTAATTGGTCCTCTAAAATGATTAAAGTCTCTATCTCACAAGGTTGATTTAAAAGTAAAGTGAGACGCACATACATTATCTCACTGCCCGACACAAAATGAGAAATTAATCTACAATAGACGTTATTTTTCTTAGCAAAATAAAGACACTGGAATGTGTTCTAGGCAAAGGGAATGACACATGTATATTTTGAAAAGTGTGAAGTAGCATAATGAGTTCAGTCAACTGAAATTCAGTAGATGTGGAAGACTGTGGGAAGATGAGATCAGAAGGTTAAAAGAAGAAAAAAGGGCCAGATAGTGTAGCCTTTGTCAGAAACAAATAAATAAATAATTCAATGTGACAATAGGTAACAAGTTGAAAGACTGTATGCAGAGGGATCACTTTGACATCTTAGCAAAAATATTTTAGTAACTATCTGGAGGAATGCATTACAAAGAAGCTAGGTTTGGAGAATATCAATTCTCCACAGGAATATCAATTAGAAACGGAAGCATTTATCAGTTTAAAGATAATTGTTAAAGTTATAGGTTAGAATGACATTGCCTAAAAGAAATAATAATATAACGTATATTTATACTAATAGAAAACACTTAGCACTCACAACGTGCTGGAATTGAGACAATGAGAATATATTCGTTATTTCCATTTCAGTGATATAGATACTCATGCTCATTAAAGAGTAAGTAATTTGCCCTAATTGACACAGCCAGTAAATTGTGGAACTAAGATTTGTATCCTGGCCCGGGCTTTCTAGCTCCTGAGTCAGATTCTTGGGCAAGCTGAATGAGAAGATCAGACAGATAAGAGTGAAGCCTTGGGAAAAACTGGTATTTGAGAGTGGTCTGAGGTAAAAGATACCACAAATGAGAATGAAAAGAAGTGAACAGAGAGATCAAAGGTAAAATGGAAAAATGTGTATAATAAGCATCAGAAAGAAGTTTAATGAGGAAGAGGGTCAACAGAGCTCATGCCAGACACAAATGACTAAGTGGTCCCAGGATCTTAAATAACTGTACCTTAGAGCAAAATGTACCATACTGGGAAATGCACGTCCTGGACCACAGGAAAAAGATATGGTTGACTGTCCATGACATCACACTCTCTGTCTCATATACATAGGAACACATACACACACAAACATGAACAGAGGTCCACCATGGGATTCTTGATACACAAATCAAAGTTAAATTAAGTGCAAATAATTAAATTAGAAATACTGATATGTTCACACATATAGACATGTACATGCACATCAGTTGTTCCACTTCCCAGATCCCCTAACACAAGAATCCCTGTCTTCTACCTCTAATCCTGAGCAATTGTACTGAGAAAGATATTTAACTTATGTTGCGTCCTCTCATTTTTCTGCCCCAATGAGTACTCCCCTCAATGCTTAGCACTGGGTGAACCAGCACTTTCGTTTCTGTTATGCTTCCTCCTTACCACCCTTGTGGATCTCCTACCCTGTTCAAATGTACCCATGCTGGACATCAGGAAATATGTTTTCAGGCTCCAGATGATGGGGAGAGGGAGATGGGAGACTCAAAAGATACTAGAACACAAGAGGAGATGGGAGAGAGAGAATGAACAGCCTTTGAGAGAGAACAAGGATGATTGACTCATGAGTAGGAGACACAGTGTGGCTGAAGAGAGAAAAATAAGCAAAGCTTCATGTCCACTGCTAGGATCTCATTGTGTCTTTCTTATCTCTCCTTCAAGGTCATCAAGACTAAGAAAAGAAAGAATGAGGAACCTAGAGTGGAGAACCCCCCTCCAAATCCATTTTATGGCTTTGATAGTGGTATTGTTAAAGTTGAGACTTACTTTTAAACAATAGATTCAGTAGAAATAGCCCAGCACATTAAGAGATTTTTATATCTGAGTTATGGATTAGGTAACTTTTATAAAATTTACTTATTATATTTCTCTGTATTTTCTAAGAATATCACATTTTGAATCTAAAATGTTCATAATGTAAAAAAAATAAAATTTCCTTTTTTAAAAGCCATCGCTCTCCAAAAGTGCTGGATATGGTCTTTTTAATCCATAAATGAGTTGTTTGAGAGTGGTCTATTTGTGCACAGGAGGCACACAGGGTGGGGCACACAGGTCCTCACCAACATTGGGATCTACCAGTGATTTCCAGAAAACAAGGCCCTCACCATGGCCATGTCTAAGGTTAGGCAGGTTGGTCTCACAGCCCACATTCAAACCAAAAAGCCCTGTGCCCTGGGGAAAGTGTATTTGGTCCAGAAAAAAGAATTACTTTTTGTAATTATATCCCCCAGAAGGGGAACATTTGGATAACTGGTTCTCTTCAGGAAGCACCATCATTGATTTACACAAATGTACCAATATATGCAAGAAGCTCCCCTACTCCTAGCTGCTGTGGAATATCTAGTCCCATTCATCTGATTTGTAGATACATACTACTATTAGTTTTCCAACTATATTTTCTTATTCTCACGTTTTAAATATGTGGATTCCAGAGAAAAGTTACCCAAGTAGAGACATGCAAAGACAAAAAGTAATGAATAGTGAATTAAATCTACACTAAGTGACAGTAAATATCACCTAAAGAAATTAAATATCTAAAATCAATATGTACAATATAACCGTTGGCTTCTGCTCCCGGTGATGGCAGAGTAGTCTGCCACCATAAGCAACAATATAACTCAATAAAATAACATGGGGTGACATTTCCCAGGCTTTGGACAAGAGGCAGCATCAAGATAGATCCCTGATAGAAGGCAACTCAGAAGGCGGTCTTTATAATTGCCCCAGATCTCTACCTAGGAGGATTTCTTGACTGCAGGCTATTGAGCAGGTGTCAAAGCAGAGCATGACAATCACACTGGGCCAAAAGGGGTAAACATCAGTTTTCATGGCCCCCAAATAGCTGGATCTGGAGAGAAGGGAGCTATACAAGGGGGCCCTATTCATTGGCTGAGTCCTGGGTTGCACATATAGAAGGTGAGATAAAATGAGGTCTACCACAGAGTAGCTGCTATGGGGTTGAGAACAGAACAGAGGTACAAGAAAGCAAACAGTGCTGGCAACGTTGGATGTTGCTAGAATAGAGACACATCTCTAGCACCTGGACATCAAACTAACAAAACAGAGAGGTTGCACATGAGGAGGAAACATCACACAATAGACTAAGGACAACTCTAGACCCATCCTAACAAAGCCACATTCTCTTTATCCATTCATCCATGGATGGACACTTATATTGCTTTAAACTTTGGCTACTGCGAATAATACTGCAATGAACACGAGGGAGCTGATATTTCTTTGAGATAGTGATTTCATCTCTTTCCAATATATACCCATAAGTGGGGTTACAGGATCATACTGTAGTTCTATTTTTAACTTTTTGACGAAGCTCCATACTGTTTTCCATAGTGGTTGCGCCAATTTAAATTCCCACCAACAGTGCACTTTTCTCCAAATCCTCCCCAACACTTATTATCTCTTATCTGTTTGACAATGGCCATTCTAAGAGCTGTGAGGTGATATCTCATTTTGGTTTTGATTTGCATTTCCCTGATGATTAGTGATGTTCAACGCCTTTTCATATGTCAACATTGTAGGCCTTCTTTGGAAGAATGTCTATTCAAGTCTGTTGCCCCTTTTTAAACTGGATTGTTTGTTTGTTTGCTATTGAGTTGTATAAGGTCCTTAGATATTTAGGATATTAACTTTTTTTCAGAGAGATGGTTTGCAAATATTTTCTCATTCCAGAGGTTGCCTTTTCATTTTCTTGATTGTGTCTTTTTCTGTGCAGAAGCTTTTTAGTTTGATGTAGTCCCATTTGTTGATTTGTGCTTTAGCTGCTTGTGTTTTTGGTGTGATATACAGTAGACCATCGTGAAGACCGATGTCAAGGAGCTTTTTCCCTATGTTTTCTACTAACAGTTTACTGTTTCAAGTTTTACCTTTAAATCTTTAATCTATTTCAAGCAAATTTTTGTGATGTAAGATAGGGGTCCAATTTCATGCTTTTGCATGTGATTATCTGGTTTTCCCAACACCATATATTGAAGAGACTATCATTTCTTTGTTGAGTATTCTTGACTCCCTAGTCAAATATTAGTTGCCTCTGTATGAATAGGTTTGTTTCTGGGTTCTAAATTCTGTTCCATTGGTCTCTGTATCTGTTTTTACACCAGTACTATGCTGTTTTGGTCACTACTGTTTTGTAATATAGCTTGAAATTAGGAAGCATGATGTCTCTAGTTTTGTCCTTTCTCAAGATTGCTTTGGCTATTCAGAGTCTTTTGTGGTTCCATTTCCATATAAATTTTAGATTTTTTTTTTCTATATTTGTGAAAAATGTCATTGGAGTTTTGATAGGAATTGCACTGAATCTATGGATGACTTTGTGTAGAATGGACATTTTAAGAATACTAATTATTCTGATCCAGGAACACAGCATATCTTTCCATTTTTTCATGTCTTCTTCAATTTATTTCACCAATGCCTTATAGCTTTCAGTGTACATATTTTTCACCTTCTTGGTTAAATTTATTCATAAGTATTTTATTGTTTTATGATACTTTTGTAAATGGAATTGTTTTCTTTGTGTCTTTTTCGGATAGTTTGTTGTTAGTGTATAGAAATGCAACTGATTTTTGTATATTGATTTGTGTGTCCTGCAACTTTACTGAATGTGCCTATTACTACTAACAGATTTTTGGGGAAGTCTTTAGGATTTTCTATATATAAGATCATATCATCTGCAAATAGAGACAATTTTACTTCTTCCTTTCTGATTAATATGCATTTTATTCTTTTTCTTACCTAATTGCTGTGGTGAGGAGTTCCAATACTATATTCAATGGGGGTGGTGAGGGTGGACACCCTTGTCTTGTTCCTGATCTTAGAGCAAAAACTTTCAAACTTTCACCATTGAGTATGGTGAATACTCATACTAGCTAGCTGTGGGCTCGTCATATATCGCCTTTATTATGTTGAGGTATATGCCTTCTATATCCAATTTATTGAGAGTTTTTATCATGTAAGGACATTAAATTATGTCAAATGCTTTTTCTGCATCTATTGACATGATTTTTATTTTTCATTCTATTAATGTAGTTTATAATATTTATTGATATGCATATGTTAAACCACCTTACATCCTAGGGATAAATGCCACTTGATCATTGTTTATGAATCTGTTAATGTGCTGTTGAATTCATTTTGCTAGTATGTTTTTGAGAACTTTTGTATTTATATTTATATAACTTTCTTTTCTTTCAGTGTCCTTATCTGGCTTTGATATCAGAGTAATGCTGGCCTTGTAAAATAAGTTTGGTAGTGTTTTGTTCTCTTTAAAGTTTTTGGAAGAGTTTGAGAAGGATTGGTGTTAATTCTTCTTTAAATATTTTGTAGAATTCACCAGTGAAACCATCTGATCCTGGGCTTTTTTTTTGTTGGGAAAAAGCAAAAATTGATTGATTACTGATCCAATCTCCTTACTATTTACTGATCTGTTCATATTTTCTATTTCTTCATGATTCAATCTTGATAAGTTGTATGTTTCTAGGAATTTGTCTATTTCTTCTAGGTTATCCAATTTGTTGGCATATAATTGTTCATAGTAGTCTCTTGAGCCTTTGTATTTCTGTGGTATAAGTTGTAATGTCTCCTTTTCCATTTATAATTTTATTTATTTGAATTTTCTCCTTTTCTTTTCTAAGTTAGTACAGCTAAAGGTTTGCCAATTTTATCTTTTCAAAAAATCAACTCAATATTGTTGATCTTTTTTTTTATTTTCCTGTTCTCTATTTCATTTATTTCTGCTCTGATCTTTGTTATTTCCTTCGTTCTGCTAACTTTAGACTTGATTTGTTCTTCTTTTTCTAGTTCATTGAAGTATAAATTTAGGTTGTTTATTTGAGATCTTTCTTTTGTCTTTTTTTTTTAATAGAACTGTCTGAGTTTTGACAATATTTTATTTGATTAACCAAAAAAATAGCTGGTTAGTTTGCCATAAAAAGTAGTCATATCTGACATTAGCACATGAATTTATTTTTGTTGTAATCTCAAAACTAACATTAGCACTCAGCTTTTTTCTTAATGCAGTCGTTTATCACCTTAACCTTCCCTCTTAGAATTGATTTTGCTATATCCCATAAGTTTTGGAATGTTGTTTCCACTTTCATTTGTTTCAAGATATTTTTTGACTTCTTTGAGCCATTGGTTGTTCAGGAATGTCTTGTTTAATTTCCACATATTTGTGAATTTTCCAGTTTTCCTCTTGTTATTTATTTCGATTTTCATACTATTGTGCTTAGAAAACATATTTGGTATGATTTCAATCTTATTAAATTTGCTAAGACTTGTTTTGTGACGCAACATATGATCTAGCTTGGTGAAATTTTCATGTGCACTTGAGAAAAATCTGAACTATTCTGCTGTTGGATGGAATGTTTTATACATGTCTATTAGGTCCATTTGGTCTAAAGTATAGTTCTTGTACAATATTCGCTTATTGATTTTGTGTCTAGATGATCTATCCATTGTTTAAAGTGGGGTATTGAATATGCTACTAATATTATTTGTTGTCTATTTGTCCCTTCAGATCTGTTAATATTTGCTTAATATATTTAAGTGCTCTGATGTTAGGTACATTTATACTTATAATTGTTATATCCTCTTGAAAACTTGAGCCCTTTATCATTTTACAATGACTTTCTTTGTCTCTTATTATAATTTTTGACTCAAAATTTGTTTTCTCTGGTATAAATATAGCTACCTCTGCTCTCTTTTGGTTTCCATTTACATGGAATATCTTTTTCCATCCCTTCACTTTGAACCAATGTGTGTCCTTAAAGATGAAGTGAGTCTATTGTAGGCAGCATATAGTTGGGTCTTATTTTTTTATCCATTCAGCCACTTTATGCTTTTTGATAGGATAACTTAATCCACTTATTTTTAAAGTAATTATTGAGAGATAAGGACTTACTAATGCCTTGTTATTGTTTTCTGGCAGTTTTGTAGTTCTTTCATTCCTTTATTCTTTTTTTTT